TCCTTTCTTTTTTGACTACCAGTGCTTTTGTTACATAAATAATATGAATCGTTTTAATACAATTATGTATTTTCATTGCAATTTGCATAGTTTATTTCTAAGATGTCCTGAAAACTAGATCAGCCATAAAAAATTTATGAACTTGAATATGATAGATGTGGAATATTCTTACCACTGAGAGCCTCTTTTATATTAAGTAGTAATAATAACTTTAATTCCTCGTTTTCATAGAAGGTCGTTTTTTTTTTACTATGCCTAAAATACATTTGAAGATTTTTTTTTTTAATTCTTGATTCTATTTTAATTGTTATTTTAGTGATTGTTAGTCTGAGTTATAGAGCTCAGCTCAGTGATAAAGATGTCTACCCTTATTTATCAAGTTATTAACATCCGCCAGAAAGTTCGTAGATATTTCTTTATCTCATCGTAACCTACATCTATTTTATTTATGAAAACTCTTGGAATTGGGATGTTTTCAATATGGAGGTCGCAAACTTTGTCTATTTAATTAGCTAGAAGAGATATTTTGATTATAGAAAAAATGTGGTTTACAAAAAGAACGAAGTTAAACAGGCCAATATAACTCCAACAATATAACAATGGGTCCCATATAACTTCGTTCTTTTGACATTTGTCACGCCAAACGGATCAATATTTTTGAAGTCCATCTCTTTTCTCGATTTTGTGCTCAAATTGTCTTATGATTCAAGGAGAAAGCAAATGGATATGTACAAGTTTTTAGTACCTAATTAAATAGACAAAGTTTGCTGATCTTCAGATTTAAGACGCCCCTATTCCGAATATTTTTGTAAATAATTGTAGATTACGATAAGATGAATCTATTTCCGAAGTTTCAGCCGAATGTTAATAATTTGGTAAAAAAAGGGGGGGTCTTACCAAGGACAAGGACTAGTGGGATGCCCCTGTATTTGTATACATTTAAGTATATGTTTTATGAGAGGATTTTTAATTTTGTTAATTTTAATATGTAAACTAATACTTGTTTGTATAAAAGACACTCAAAAACTCTTGAAGGCCGCATATGTTTTCTCGGAGTCATTTTATCATCGGAGCTCATTCTCCACCTATCGTATATATCATAAAATTAATGTTAAAATGTCTTCTCTTTTACTTATTATGAATCGAGATTTACAGACTGGCGTAAATATTCGTAACTTACGGTCTAAATTAATTTTGCTGATGATTTCACGAAGAAGGACAAAGTAATGTAGCCTATAGAAACAATGGACTAATTCAGATTCAGGAGGAGAAGTTGGTGGTGCTTAGAACTCCTACCTACAGGAGACATATATCTTACATTTAGCAAAGGAAAACTGTAAAAAAACTAGAAAGGATTCTGCTCACGTAGTGCCCCGCCGAACGGTGAGCTATCGGCGGAATGAGGAACGACTGGAAGAAGTCCCTTACCCTATTGCTGCCTCCTCCTCGTCCTTTAAGGACCTTAGAATTCTTTGACTTTTACTGCCTCCGAAGCAGCCAATTAGAGGCCTTGAATAAGCTCGGGCCCTGGGAATGCCAGAAACTTTAACAAGTATACCAATTAGCAGTTTGTACCTCTTGGTCCAAGGTTCCTTACGGGAACAACGTTTCGTATTAGATATTCAGCAGTAGATAATATTAATTGCAGTAGAGAAAAAAAAATGGAAGTCAATGTATTCCTAAAAAGTAATTTTAAAAAAAATTGGTTATGACTATTTTTTTTCCACTAAAATCAATAGTTTCTTGTCTTTTGCTTTTGAAGTAGTCCTGATATATCAACTCTCGGTAGGGTTTAAAAATTGTTGGAACGATGTAAATGTCGATTTTTCGAGTCATGATATTTTTTAAAGAAATGGGACAAGGTAGTAGACTTTGAATTATTGAAGTATTTTATTTGTAATTGCTTTTACAGCAACATTTTTTTTTTGCCCTTTATTACGTATCTATGTCTATGTATAACTTAAAAATATGTTACGCTTTGTGTTTGTTGCTTGGTTTATCTTCATTCCTTATAAATTGTATATATATATATATATATATATATATATATATATGTATATATATATAATCACTCATAATCACATACAATTGTGTGATAATAATATTATTGTATAATGCTTATTTACCATGGCCGATCTACGGGACGGCTGTCGGCCTTCGTCGACTCCTCTTTCTAAAATGAAAAAAATATTTATATATTTTTATATATATATATATATATATATATATATAACAATCACAATATATTCCATTTTGATTTTCCGATTTTTATAAAACTTTTGTATAATGTTCTAATAATTGTCCTTTCAATTTTCGTATATGAACTAAAATCCCGAGAAACTTTTGAAAGGTAATTAAATTACCAACAAAAAAAAAAAAAAAAATCATCGGAATGGAACTAGTATTAACTATGATACAGCTTATTCTATTTTCTACTCATGTTTTAATTGATTACTTTCCTACCTATACTATGTAAGGAAAGTATTGGATTTCAGAGAAATTTGAGTCAAATTTTGGATATGCTGTTTTCCACGGATCTGTACATTTTATAGCCACTGAGTCCGAGGAATACAATTTTAGCCATTGATCTGTCTGTCTGTGCCAAGATCTTCTCGGGGACTACTGAACCGATTTTGTTGCTTCTTTTTTTATTTTGAAGGATTTTGACTACTGATGCCTGTGATAGAAATTCGGTGCTCCATTCGCAATAGCTTGCGCATGAATGAAAAACATATTTTGTTTTTTTTAAATTATAATGATTAAATTATTACATTTAAAATTACAAACATTATAATACCTTTATATATAACTAATGTACTTTTTTTTTTTAACGACCTCTTAAACATAGGTATTTTTTTCTTTCTATTAGATTAATTACCGTATTAAGTTCTGGGTCTGCTTCTGATTATTTGTATATAATAGTCAAAGGTCTTGACCACACTTCCGGTTTTAATACAGAAATAATTTATTTATTTGTCATCTCTAAATGAACTGTACGATATTAAAATTGAGCCAAAGGTTTCTGTGTCCTTTTAAAAGTATTGAATGGGAATCCATATTTTAATGACGGAGAAACAGGGTTGCAGTCACAGTAAAAAAACATGAATAAAACTTATAAAATTTTTTTTTTCACTGTGAATCAAACCCCCAAGTAACTATCCAACCATATAATGTTTTGATAATTTAATTTTTTTTTTTCACTTTTATTCTGTTCGTACAAGGCTATTTAAGGTCCCGACTTAAGCAGTGCTGTTTCTCACTTTCAACTGAAAGAGAAACGTAAATAGTTTTGGGTATTTAAATATATTCAAATCCTCCTTAAGACGGTCCTCGAACTGTTTAGACATTCCGAAAGGAAGTGCTCTTCTCCCAGTCTTTGTCGAGGGGACGCCGCCGCGGAATCCAATATGTCTCGTCGAATAATTCCGGTTGGGGAAGGATCCGAAGGAGATATCAAGTTTCGGTGTCTATCTAGATGCACCTGTATATGAATAAATTACGATTGTATTTTTCTATACATTTCAGATAGTGGACGCTTAAAATACTTAATAAAGAAAATTATCTGTGCGTTTAAAAGAGCAAAAATTAAAAAATCACATGTTAAGTTCTAATTGGAATATTTTTAACACTATCTTTGAATTTCTAAAATACCGGTAAAACAAACTATGTTTTCAACGTCTCTTCTATATCATACATCGCCAGGATAGAAAATAATGTTGAATTGTCTTTTTCGATTGTTGATGAGGCATTCTTTTGTTTATATTGTATTTTATTTTTATGCATGTGATTAGCTTGTTTTCTCCCGTGATGATACCTGAATTGGTTACACGTTTAAAGCTTTAACTGGTTTTTACAAACTTGAGGATTGTGTTAGGAATTTTTTTATTATAAATTAAAAAATCTGTGAATATAAACTCATTCTCTATCCTTATGAATAATTTATCAATTTATTTAGTTTTTATGTTATTTTAAATAAACATCAATATATTTTGTCTGTAGGATGATCTCAATTTAAGAAATAGCAGAGGCGTGTCTGAAAATATTATAAAAATAAAAATAAGAATCAAATTTAATCATTGATGAATTTAACAAGATATTGTAAATCCCTTCATTAACAAGGATTTGAAAAAAATAAAAGTAATGTTACGATTTCCAACAAACATCCCCAAAGAGACATTCAAGTATTGTCAAATCATAGTAAGTCATTTAAGAAGTAATCTAAATACTTTTTAAAAATATTCATAAGCTTAAAAGAACTTTAAAAAATAACATATTAAAACTATTTTACGTAACTTTTTCATTTATTTTATGACGTATGCATCTCTTTTGGACCATTGTCCTTATAGATGATAAATATGTATAATATATTATAGATTAAATCTAATTTATATATTTTTTAAAATCTATAGTGCGTAAATATTCAGATTGTGGTCCATAGCAGTAGCGAACCTAGAATAAAATTTTTTGCGGGGCTTGATTTTTAAATTTCGGCAATTATTATGATAAAAAAAGATAGAAACTATATAAAATAATGTTTATGTTGTCTACAAAGGCTTAATTTTTTAAATATATTTTTCTTATTGCGTGTTTTTATTTATTAGCTGAAATGCATGCGTTATAATTTAATATTTTTAAATATATTAAAATTAATTAATATTATTATTTAAGCAATAAGTTAAGAACACTAACCATGTTTCCTACGGTCCATACGTAATTCCTTTCAGCCTTGCAATATCTGAAAAAGAACCATTATAAGACGAAGTTGCCATGAACCAATCAATTACCATTGATTCCTTGCATGTGATTCTGTATATTAAAATTACTCTGATTTGTATCAGGAAATTATATTGTACATAAACAATATATGGAGAGCCTATTCCCTAGTCAGAAAACAGCTTCACCACCCACGAAGATGTGTTACGAATTGCTCATTATTATTTTAATGACTGAGGTCTTTAGTAATTCTAATCTTTTCCGAATTAAGCCTCCCTCGACAGGAACTAATTCCTGTTGGATAATCCTGCTGTAAAGGATATTGGCCTAGAGTGGTCTTGGGAGGAGGTAGGTTCCTCTTGGAGAACCGGTCCTGCCACAGGATTGCTCGCTGGTTCTTTAAATGTATAGTCGAGGGTGTCGCGCAAGGCTCTCCTATCCGCGTGTCCTTTCTGTATGGTATATATGATAAAGAAAGTATCAAAATGAAAACTTTGTCAACATTTTTTATTTTTGTTCAATGTGATAAGGTTATTCTATTATTTGACAGACTGGCTTTTCTTTATCTTGCATTTTGGGTAAAAAAAATACTAATTTTTTGAAAACAAAAAACATTAGTTTTTTATATTAGTATTTATTTAGAAGAATGGGGACTCCTCGACCTCTTACGGGCCATTTTAGTCTTTACAAAGTATTTACGTTACAATACATTAGATGAAATTTCACAATAAAGTTGAAAGTACAAAATATTTAAAACATTAAAATTTCCAAAAAAGTGTAAGTAAAAATTAAATTTTGTTATATAGTTACGTTATTTGGAGAAATAAAAACAATTTACTATTTTGCTGGTGTTTTTAAAAATGTCTGCAATATTATCCTTCGATTCCACTTCATTCCGTTGTACTTCATAACATTCAATCAAAATGTTCCTGACTGTTAAATTAATCCCTCAGCAAAGACACTGAAGGGTGTCCCCTTTGTCATTAAGTACTCATGAATTAGCTGTGAGTGTCCGATTCCGAGCCTTGTCAGGATCATTTCTTCTCTTCTGTTCAACTGGATGTTCTGAGATATTAGTAAAGGTTTTCTGGATAACTAACTTGATGTTAGATTGTTAGTTTCAATGTGCTTAAATATATTCGATAATGAATCTATGTACACGATACAAAATATATATATTTCCATCTCAAAATTAGAAGTTTTACGTATCGTGATGCGTATAATCTAAAATTGGAATGAAATCACAGATGTATGTTGGATAGATACGAGACGATATCGTCGGTTTAGAGCAAAAAGTAATTTAGTGAAATTTCATAACCTCAAATCATTAAAAACTTGGATGAATTTTCTCTTTGTGGAATAAGAAACTTGTACGCTTGTTGTAGCTACGTTTGATATTTAAAAGGGTTTTTATTGTCTTAGCGTCATTAATTGATAAAAAAGATCAAAATTTGTTTTAAGTTTAAGCTTCACCAAAAATCTTCTGAGTGACTTTTTGCAATAAATCGACGATATATGCATTTACATATTTTTAAATTATTTTACCGAAGATGAAGTCCTTTATCATGAAATCCTGATACTAGAAAAATAGAATAAATGAATATTGTAGATTTATGTCAGTCTAATTTATTTGTATTTACTTGTATTTGAGGTTTTGGATTAAACGAATAAAATATCATAAAATAAACAATAATTATTTTACTTTTTTTAGTGTTTGTGTGAGTTCAGTTGATATATAGGTACACTTTTGTTATATTTGAAATGATTTGAACCATTTTGTTGTGATTTTGAACACGAACTTTTCCCATAGTGTTCCTCCGAATCGTCCTCGAATTTTCGAAAATAATCCAGACCCCTGAAGAGGAGTAATTGGTGGGATGAGAAGAGGCGGTACTTAGCGGCGGGCGGAGGCGTTGACCTCGCTCACAATGCTCGCCGCTGTAATGAAGTCTTTTCTTCCTTCGGGGCTAAGGCGGATTGATTTCGACTTCGCTATGGCTTTTGACCTCGCATGGCTGCCTGCAAGGTCGTTTATCTCCTTTTGGCAAGTCCCACGTGTTTTAACTCCCTAAATACCGACAATTTAAATTTAATTGAAAAAAAATAAATAAAAGTTTGAGCTAAAATTAAGAGATGGTCCGTTTGCCAATCAGAACCACCCACCCAATTTTTTTATTATTATTTTTTAAAAATAAATTTTAACATTCGGATGTTGTTGATATAAGACTAAATGAAAACAAAATAAGGCAACTATAAGAATAAGATCTAATAATATGAGATCAAGATATAATTAAAATACTAAAAGGAGGGTATGATTAACAGTAAAATAAGAAAGTCGTCAAAATAGTAAATCGTGGATTTATTTCAAAAACCCTGGCATCATTTTCTAGATAAAGTATAAGGTAAAGTGAGTAATGTATTCCTGAGGTATTATGGAAGACGATATTATGAAGCGGTGACAGCGGGACCAGATCCCGAGAGGCTAAGATGACGACCTCCATTCTACCTGATGCCACGGCCGACAAAAAAAAAGATTCCACTTTTTTGGACAAGTACAACAAGCTGAGATACAGTTAGGGCAGCGACAACTGTGTCACTTTCCTTTAGTTCACTCGGCCCGGGCACGTAACTGTGTCTCTGGGTAATAGCAATTGCCCCATGTCGTGGGTAACCTAGCCTTGTCTTTTCTTTAAAGATTAATTTAAATTTATAAAGGCAGCATACGAAGTATAACTGGAGGGAGGTGTCATGTTACTATACCAGAATAATATGTTTGTTTAATTCGATGTCTAAGCGCAAAACTTGCAGGTCAGAATAATAGAATAAAATAAATAAATAAAGATAATAATAAACATTTATAGATAATAAGATAAAATAGATAAATAAATAAACATAAAAATGAAATAGCAATAAAATCAACAAATGAATTTAAATAAATGAACATTTAAAATTAAAAAAAAAAAAAAGAGAAAAAAAATCTGCAAAGGATCATTAGTTATAAACTACAAATATGTTTTATAAGACTATCATTGTCTAGGAACTTCATAACATTAGTAAATTATGAAAGGAAGTTTATCGACTGGTCTACATATCATGGATGATAAATTTTGAGGATGCAATCATTATAAAGTTTTTATTGGTGCCGACGTTGTGGGTCATCATCAGGACGTTTTTCCAGTGATGTTTACTGTGTAATGTAGTACTTGAATACCTTCAGTGCTCGAAACACGCCATGATGATGACACATATGTTTGGGTTGAAACGTCGGCACCAATAAAAACTTTGTAATGACGGCGTCCTGAATATTTATCACCCATAACTTAGATTTCTTCCTGGTCTCCCAGGGATACTGATATATTCTGGGGTATTCCAAGATCTTTTAACGTCCCGGTGTAAAAAGGGCACTCTTCCAAAACATGTTTTATAGTTAATGACTGGTCAGACTTTGGACATCTGGGATAATATCATTTGTTATGAGATGGAGGTGTGTCGGTTCGGTATGTCCGATCCTCAGCCGCGTGAAGACGTCTTCTCTACGACTGCTGCGTTTGGAGTTGCTCGATGGTTGCACCTTTTTCTTTATTGTCTTTAGTTTGCTAATTGCGCTGTGGTCCCACCGTCTGTCATTCTTGGGATATGGTTTCTCTTAGAGATAGTGCAAGTTCAGATAGTGTCAAAAAAGCTTTACCGCGGCCTGGACGCTTATAAACAAAAAATCAATAAAACAACTGAAACTGTCTATGGGAAATTAAAATTGTATATGAATGTTAAACGAATCTTAAAATAGCTATGAAACATTACCACCTAATTTATTTTACATATTTAAAACAATAGAGGAATTTATTAATAATTATTCATTATTTGTTCCATCTCTCACTGCAACAAATTGTTGATTAGATTTTGTTGTAAACGGCATCATTTTTATAAATAAGACTTTCATCATAAGTTTTGTGACGAATATAATTTAGATCGTTTTGGAAATAATGGTGGATTTCGTGTTCCTCGCTGAATCTCTGTAGTACATTATTAATGTAAAAAGTATAAATCTAAGAAAAATTACCAACAGCTAAATCATCGGCAATCTGTTCATAGGTTTATCCTTCCATCTCCAAAAGATCTCGAGATCATCACTCAGCTTAACCAAACTAATAATTTTCTGCAATACTTGAGTGAATATATTTTCAAGAAGGATCATATATAACATTAATCTCAACGCTGCATCTGACCACTCCCCGAAATCGCTTCTATAGCAATAACCAACGAGAGATGTCTACACGTACGATGACTACTTGGATGAAATTATTACGTTGTATCTGATTGGCCGACCTTGCGATGACTCATGCAAGGCCGCCTCCTATTGGTGTATCTCCTTTATGGAATGGTATATCGTGCACTGCCTCGTGTGGGAGTAGCAAGGGACTGTCCACCTCTGCCGGATCAGATATGGTTAGCCCTGACGCAATATATAACAGGGCCTACAATCTATATTGCAATATATTGATTTATCTTGCATAAGTACCGATGCATTTATTTCAGAACGGTGTGGGCATAAAACGGTTCCATTTTCATTACATTCAATCAACAAGAGTATTGTAGTGGGATATTCGTCTCGAGGGCGTGGGAAGAGGGCACTAATGGAACTAGGAACATTTATGGTTTTCTAAAACTAAAAAATGTGGTCTGGGTATTTCAAAATGGCGCTAATTGAAAGTGGGAACTAATTTTTTCATTTGTAAAAATTGCGTCACTTGAAGACGATCTGTTCCAATGCCAAAATTCCTTTTCTGCTGAAGATTGGCGAGAACATCGCACCAGAAAACGCAAAGTCTTTTCACCCGATAGTGCACTTAAGAAAATATCAAGGAAACACCTATTCCTTAGAAGATTATTACCATAAACTAATTTGTAGTATATTCGATCAGCTTCATTGGATTTGATCCTTGATATAGTTATTCCGTTAGTTCTATAGGAACAGTCTTATCTTGGCATGTGGAAGTTGTGCAGTTTCATGTTGACTTTTATCAAATCATCTTAAATTGATGCAATTTGTACGTTTTTGGGTCCTGTCATGGATTCATCGGACGCCATTTATAAATGCTCCTACTTTCAGTTGGTGGACTAGTGCATATTGAATGATGAGGATGGACATTGTAACTGTGTTGGGCTGAAAGTGTTCTTCAAATAAGTCAAAAATTTTCGATTCGGCTCTTTCACTATTAGTCGCAATTTGGACAAGTTGAAGGCCACCAGGTCTTATAGACATGGTATCTCATATTATTCCTTATTCCCTCCCGCATTATATATATATATAAATGTGTTTTGATATTACCCTGTAAGTTATTATATTACAATATTTTATAAAAGGCCTCAGGCCACGGATGCAAAGTACTCATACAGCGTGCGTAGCCCTTTTACCTTAAAATGCCCTTGGACAATAAAAGGAAATTAAAAATGTTTGTGTGTATATTCATTAAGTCGTTTATATATTGTATTTTTGTATAGTAAATAAAATTCCTGGAGGTAAGAAAAAAAATATACAATATTTTAACATTTTTACTGTACCCTCCTCGTGGGACCTCACGAGATCCGATCGTGAAATATATCTAGGAAGGATAAGTAAATTTCTAGGATGAGAGATTTGCAATATGTCTCTGTAGACATTCGTGGAAATTTGTAAAATAAGGAAAACGAATTATCAAATGTATCTATTGACGTTACATTTTGTCTCAGTTTACTCGACGGCCATTACTAATAAAAAAACGTACCCTAACAAGTCTTATAGTATTCTGGATCAGATCCAGGCCAGTTCGCCACGAGATACTTCAGCTGCTTAGGCCACTTTCTAAGTTTAATTTTCTTAAACATCTTATAAACTATTTGAAATTGGTGAAATCCGCCCTCGATACATACTTTCTAATGGAGCATTAAGTGTATTAGCAGTAGCCAAGAGGTCTGCCACAGCCTTCTCCTAATATATTTCATTTAAGGCAAGTTCAAATCAATTACTGGTTAATGTATATTTCATTTATTTCTTCTATATTGGCCACGTCACCTAATACAACCATTGTTCAAGAAACTGTACGTTTTTTATCACCTTTTGCTATTTCATTAGACCAATAATTTTTACTTTCACTTACATATATATATATATATATGTAAGTGTATATATATATATATATATATATATATATATATATATATATATATATATATATATATATATATATTTATGTTTTGTATATATATATAATATATAGTAAGTGAAAGTATTGCGATCGTGAAAATTTTCGAATCTGAGTTTTCAACGGAAATACAAGTTTTGAGATTCCTTGAGTCCAAATAACCAAATCCCGGTATATGCTTGACTTTTATCAGTATAAATCAAGAATGAAAAGTCGTACGGAAGTGAAATTGTATATTTAAGGTTTTTAAACACCTAAGATGTTACAGTAACGTTTTGTCGGAATCGGTTAACCGAAAGTGCCACTTTATATCAAAACACACATTTTTACAATTTTCTCAAAAACGGCTCTAATGATTTTGGTTTAACTCGGTGTATCAATGTTATACTTAAGTAATCCTTAATATCATTTAAGTCTTATCTGTATTGATGTCACTTAACAGGACTTAAATGTTCAAATATTCAAAGTACCTTTAATTTGGTTTATTTTAGGTAATTAACTATCTCTCTATGATAAGAATTATGAAAAAAAGGCTAAGTATCAGTTTTGAAAGAATTTGATTGTTGAATAAATGAGAAAAAAAGAAAAATGCTTATCCAGGTCAAAAATGAATCTCCGGAAATAATAGTCAGAAAGTATGCCTATAATATATCGGTGGAAAGCAAAGAATGTTAGAAAAAAAAATGTAATATATAAAGTCGTATAAGGTAATGGAGAGTTACGAAAAATTATAAATAGCAATTTGTGAAAAATAATATTATTTAACGGAAAGCACACGTTTTCAAGAAAATTAAATAAAATTTACTAACTAAATGTAAACTTTAAAAAAATCTTTTTTGTTTGAAAATGTATATAAAGTCCACCTTATCTAGGCAATGCCATTATTAAAAAAATTCTTTATTGTACTTGTGTGAAAGAAGAAGGGTCAATCCATTTAAAATCACCCAGATCATTTTTCTCGTTATTTTTTATCTTATATTTTTTTACCTGTTATTCCACATTTATTTGAGAGTTCAAGATCGTAGTTTATTTTGAGGATCTCAGTTTTTTTTTCTCGGCGACAATTTTTAATTTTAATGAAATAAAAACTGACAAAATTTAGAGTATTTTTTCTACATTACTGTTGACCAATGCATCACAAAACAAAGGTCGTTTAAAAAAATCCTGAAAATAGACCAAAAAAAAAGAGTGACTTTTTCCTTATAATAAAGAAAAGAGTCTCAACTTTTTTCTTCATATGCAATCCTATTACTGTACTTTTCGCTGATGAAATTTCACTCTTAAAAACCTTGACCTTTTTTAAATATGAATTTTAAAAAAGTGAAAATTATCTGAGTGAAAATTTATGAAATTGATGAAAAGTCGTACAGAAGTGAAATTGTATATTTAAGGTTTTTAAACACCTAAGATGTTACAGTAACGTTTTGTCGGAATCGGTTAACCGAAAGTGCCACTTTATATCAAAACACACATTTTTACAGTTTTCTCAAAAACGGCTCTAATGATTTTATACCTCTATAAGTTTATACCTCTTAATGATAGGAATGTGTGATAGAAATTTAATCATTGAGACTCAACTGGTTCTATTAGTTACAGCGCAACAAATATGGCTGCCTAGTGTGAGTCGTTATCAGCATATCCTACTCACTCTAGCTGCGGCATTTTTGTAGATATCGAAACAAAATAAAAACTAAAATTATAACTATGTTTTACTCTAATTGTTTGGCTCTCACAATATATCTCATAAGTAGTGAGGAAATTTTTTAAAAAAAATTGACAACTATATAAAATTTAAATGAACATAAAACGAGCCATTTAGCGCGGCAATAGATCATGTCATTTGATCTATTAGAAGTTGTATTAATGTAACCATTTTGTAACATGTGCAAAATAAAGTTTTTCTTCTTCACACTCATACTTCTCATTTGATATCTGGAGCGATTTGATATCGTTATTTTGATATTTTGGAGGTGTAGGTCACGCCAAACGACTCATTAGTTTTGAAGGCCACCTTTTTTTCTCGATTGTGTGCTCAAATTATCCTATGATTCAAGTGGTAAGCAAATGGGTGTTTACGATCCCTTAGTAGCTAATTAAATAAGCAAAGTTTGACGATCCCCAGATTGAAAACTCCTCGATTCCGAGAATTTTTATAAATAAAATAGTTTTAGGTTACGATAAGTTTCAGACGGATGTTAATAATTTGATTAAAAGGGGTCTGTACTACGGAGTATTATATTGTGTATAAATATGTTTCGTTGAATATCATAATTTTTATATACTATCTTCTTCTTTCTTGAGATGTATCCTCGCTAACGAAGATTTTTAACGTTCCTGAAGGCTTCTCGGTTGCTCAACCTCTCCAGTTGGACGCCGCCGGTCGCCCCTCCCCTATTCCTCTCGCCATCGCCTATAAAGCGGAGGATATGACCTCGGCCCGGGAGGTAAATACATAAAGGAACCTTACGATAGAAGCTTCCAAGAACTGGGCTGCTAATTACATTTCCCTTTCATAGGGTCGTGACGGTCGCTCGTGCTCTAACGGCTCACTAACTCATGGCTCACAATTAAAAAGTCATGTGAGAGTTCACAAACCTTCTTTCTCCCTCCCTCTACCCTTTAGACCATTCCTGATATTGTTCCGGGCTCGAACCCGCACCTCCACACAATCATCTTCTCATTTCCATCTTCCTTATAGTGCACCTCGAGAACTTTCTCCTCAGTGTTGATTGCCCCCAGAATGGCTTTTATATTCCCATAGGCCTCTACTTCCCGGAGTGGTCAGTTCGCCGGGAAAGGCCGATGTAACGATCTATCAACGATATTATTCCTAATGGGGAACATCGGAAGAGAAAATAAGACAGTAGTATTAGAAATATCATAAACGATAAAAAAAAAAATATTTTTTTTTTTTTACAATCTACACGTAATTAACAATTTATGGTTTTACTTTTCAAGATATTCAGAATCCAAAAATTGAATTAAAAAAAAATGTCTGTCCCCCTTCAACTACATTTTCTGAAAATACTGGACTTAAAT